TCTTTCTGTCTCTCTCATGCAGGCAGATTAATAAATTGACTCCTGAACTGTTTCTTTGGGAAAAAAAACTTAGCAAGTAATCTTTCTTCCCTCCATCCCATTCAATAAAAGAGCCAAAGGCCACTACTTCATCATGTGTTCTTTTTGCAATACATAGGGCCAGACTATGATAAATAAACCTGAGAATTCTCACTTTCGGAAGGGTTGACAAACATGAGGGAATTCCTTAATAAATATTTTATGCTTTAAATTGGTACAGTTTTCTCAAGCAATAAAAATTAAATGGACAATGATTTCTAAGCATTCATTTGAAAGATTTTATTTCAAAATCACATTATGTTATACTTCTATTTTGAAATCTACTTTCAGATTGGTATGTTATTTTCATTTTATAATAAGATAATAGGAGCTGGGCTGCATTTTTGCAGCTGAACAGCTTTAGATTTGAAGAAAAAGGAAAGTAGCTTCTGAGCGAGCACTCCAGAATCCATGGCTAAAGAGCCCCCAAATCAGAAAGAAGTTAGTTGCAGCTTCCAGACCTGAGGATAAACATTCTAATATTTTAGGATCAGGTAGATTATAGCTGTATACCCTTCCAGCCTGCCTGTTTTTGGAGGAGGTAACTCTCATTCTCTCCCCACAAGCCTCTGGAGGGATGTTCAGCCCAAACATAGGAGCAGAGTAATCTATGACATCCACTATCTGCATTCAATTTCCGATACATCCAACCACGTGCCTACTATTCCCCTGATGCCACACACATTGAAGCTATCTCTTGTCCCTTTATCATGCCCTGTGCATTCTTCTCCTCAGGTATTTGCTAATGATCCCAATCTTTCTGTTTATCCAAATCTTTTTTTTTTTTTTCTTGTAAGTGCTGAGATCAAGTGCACCTCCTCCCGTGAATCCTTTCTGAACCTGTCCATTCCACATACAACATCTTGTTTCTAAAACTTTATGGCACACAACCCATATATTTGACATGTTGTCACATGATTTTCTGTGGTATCTTCTCATTTTGTCTTATGGCAGAACTGCTATGCTGTTATTAACATTTGCACATAGTTTTCCCTCTGCTGTAAAAAGAAAGTCCTTGAATTCTTCAAATAAGTGTCTAGAAGACAGTGTGACATTACTGATAGCAATTTTGAATTAGTCATTCCAGGCAACATATTTCCAAGCCTTTTGATAAACAGTCCTCATTATTTATGTTATGAATATGAGACTCAGGCACAAGCTCACATAGACAACATAGGGACAGAATTGATGCATACTTGTTAATTATACATTAATATAATACAATTCTATAAATATTAACAGTAAGTACATGTGTTTATTGAAAAGGGACAGTGGAACAAACTATTCTGCATTTTTAGGGTGATTCCAAGTCATAAAAGCAAAAGATAAGTCAGGACTTAAACTGCCAAGTTTCAAAATATGTACCTCTCTTTACAAATATTTAGGGAATAAACATGTTGATTGGTAAAATGAAAGGCACCACTTTTCCAGCTAATACTTCAATTCACCAAATGTATTTCTCTCAAATTTGTATTACATTGCCTGACCTGAAAAAGCATCTGACATAGCATCCAAAATCTAAGATAATTTTTATGATATTGTGATATTGGCTATTATTTACTTTGTAGATGAGAAAACTAAGTAACCAAATGTTCACAGAAGGTGCATACTCTGACTTTTCAGTCTGAGATCTTTCCATGATGCTTCACATTCTTTCCAACAAATGTATATACTTCCTCTATCTTGAATGTCTATTCCAATCTTGATCACCTAGTTATTGCCTCTTGCTACAGTGTGAATGTGTCCGCTCCAGAACTCAGGTGCTGCCAAAGTGATAGCATTAAGGGGTGGGGGCTTTAAGAGCTGATTAGGCCCTGAAGGCTCCACCCACGTGAATGGGAGTAGGAACCTTTATAAAAGTGCTTGACAAGGGAGTTTGTTTCTTTCATCTTTCTACCTCCTGCCACGTGAGGACACAAGGTTTCTCCCCTCTGGAGAATCAGGTTTTCAAGGTGCCATCTTGGAAGCAGAGAAACCAGCTCTCACTAGCTAGTGCCTTGATCATGGACTTCCCAACTTCTGAAACTGTAAGAAATAAATTCCTGTTCTTTGTAAATTGCCCAGTCAGTGATTTTCTGTTATAGCAGCACAAATAGACCAAGACACCTCCTCATCTGCCAAAAGACTACCCAGATATCACTTTTATCATTTAGTTTTTCCTGACAACCATCTTTGCAAGAAACATGTTTCATTTACTTTTCTATTTTCAATCTAGAGGACTTTCATAATGAACCTTTGGATTAAAAGTTATTCTGAAATTTCATTGTTGTGTATTTGATAATATTTAACATTCACATTTTTTCTTGTTATTTGTTCATTTATTTTTGTGGAAAAATATTTCTTAGTCACAGCTTCCAAGTGAGGGTTAAGGCTGCTATTTCCCTTCAAACACATTACTAACATTTTATTCAGGGATATTTTTCCTTAGTAAAAAAAAACATAGAAATTGGCATCATACCAAGTAGGCTGATTCAGCAAGAATGCACCTGCCAGACTCAAATTATTTTCCTTTATACTTTTAGGTTTTCTTATGTGAAAAGCTATAATAGGTCACATAGTATCTGGGGACAAAATGCTCATGCAAATTAGATTTTACTTCCTTAGTGTCACATCACCAATGTTGATTATTTTGAGGATACAGAAATCTTGCATATCTCTTAAATATATGTAATGTAGCAAGGTTTCTATTTTATTTTAAGTATCTCCCTGTGTAAGTTCCTCCATTTGTGGAATTAAAAATTAAACACATATGAGACAATGTTTTGGCTAAATAATCACAGGCAGTTGATATTAAAAATATTAACTTATTATAAACAGGTTTATAAATATGAGATTAAATGCAGTAAGAGACCATGAGTGCTTTAAAAACATTTGTATAGATTGCAAAGATGTGGAAACAACCCAAGTGACCATCAATTCATGAATGGATTAATAAAATGTGGTACATGTATACCATGGAGTACTATTCAGCTATAGGAAACAACAGTGATATAGCACCTCTTGTATTTTCCTGGATAGAGCTGGAACCCATTCTACTAAGTGACATATCCAAGAATGGAAAAATAAGCACCACATGTACTCACCAGCAAATTGGTACTAACTGAGAAACACCCAAGTGGACTTATAGGAATAACATTTATCCAGCGTTGGGCAGATGGGACGGAGGAGGACGGGATGGGTAAATACATACATATTGAGTGCTATGGGCACCATCTAGGGGGTGGACTCGCTTGAAACACTGACTCCAGGGGGAAAGGGGAGGAAAGGCAACACAGGTAACCTAAACATTTGTATCCCCATGATATGCTGAAATAAAATAAAAAATATATATTTGTATAGGCATATTCTAAAAGTCAAAACCTTTAAAATCATTATCTATCATAGCTACATAAAACACTTCAAATACTTTAACCAGCTCTTGGCTGAGATATAAGAGCTGTCTTTGCCTTCAGAATAATCAGTGGCAAACCAAAGTGTATTTAGTTCCTACAATGTCCTAGGAACTATGCTAAATATTTTATATTTTCATTATTAAAATAATTTGATGTAGTGGAGGTGATATCCATATCACAGATAAGGAAACAGAAGCTAAGATTAACAACTTCCCAAAGTCACCTATTTTGTAAGTAATGTACCAAGTGTGTTGGACTCCCAAATCTAGGCTTACTGTATGTTCTAAGTTTAGTAGAGATTATTGGTACAGTTATGAGATTATTGGGATAATCTTTAGTGTTTTTATTTATTATTATCTAGATTTGATGAACATAAATACTGTGAAACTATAGATTTATTTTTTTGGAAATATGACCTTTAGAATGGTTACACATAATGCAGAGTAAGCACTATCCTTCACTTCTCATTGTTTTTTCTTTTTGGTGGAATAAGAATAAATGAAAGCAAGGATGTCTTGGTTAACAATATCTGTAAGAATACTGAAAGTGACATGACCATGTGTGACTTATAGAACAAGAAACTAGAAAATCTCAATAACACAAATGACTTAATTATTAACAGTTTTTTTTTCAGCTCAGAAATTATGTGTGCTTTTTTTAAAATTTCAGCATATTATGGGGGTACAAAATTTAGGGTTACATATAATGTCCTTGCCCCCCTCCCCCCTCAAGTCAGAGCTTCAAGTGTGACCATCTCCCAGATGGTGCACATCTCACTCATTATGTATGTATATACCTGTCCCCTCCTCCCCCTTCCCACCTGCCCAATACCCAATAAATGTAATCCCTATGTGTCCACTTAGGTACTGATCAGTTAATGCCAATTTGATGGTGAGTATATGTGGTGCTTGGTTTTCCATTCTTGGGATACTTCACTTAGTAGTATGGGTTCCAGCTCTCTCTAGGAAAATACAAGTTTTTAACATTTTCAAACAGAAGTGATTGTAAAATAGTGGATAGAAAAATAAAATATTTCAAAGGTGCAGGGCTTTGGTTTTATAGTTATGGTTTATTTTTTTTTTTTTTTGTGTTGTTTGCTTGTTTGGTGTGTGGGAGGGTATTGATGACATTAAGAGGGACTTCATGTTAGCTCTGAAAATAGCAGGTCACTCTTTGTCATAGAGAAAATAGGGTTTATATCTGACCAATGAAAAATAATGTTGGTATATATTTTACTACCACAGTACTGAAGAAAAAATATCAATTGGTCAAATTTTTAATAAACAAGCCAATCACTGGTTTATGTTCTTTAAAAATGTCAATAATGCTTTAAATATCACTTGTTCATAATTTTTATAAATAACAACTCAAAATTTCTATATCAAAAAATAAAGCAAATAATGGGATTATAAACCAAACGTGATTCAATACTTTTTGCTAAGTTCTATTTAAAAATTCTCCTTCATTTTACATAACTTCTTTTGTTAAAACTTAGCTTTTAAACAGATTAGACAAAAAATGACATGGAATATGAAATTTCAAAAATTAAAATTAATCTGACACAAATTAATACAAAACACCAGGAAATAATGATATAAAATGATAAGATGACACTTATTAAAATTACTAATCATAAACATGAAGTCTCTGTTGTTTCTATTGTAATTCTTAAAATTTCAAGCCATGAAATCATTATGCAATCTTAGCTTTGAAAGACTATATGAATTTTGTATGTTTAAATGTGGAATGTAAATTTTGTAGGTTTAAAAGCAAAGTGAAAAGCACAACCATAGGTGAGAACCCAAGTCTAGTTCTTTAACTGGAGGGTCAGATCTATGACAAGATATTTGCACTAATTATGTAATATTCTGAATCCAAAGTGGATTTCGGTGGTATAGCAGTGAGTATAGCTGCCTTCCAAAAGTGGATTTCCTTAATTCAGCAGTTACAATGTCACAGGGGCACCTCTTTTGAAAATAAAGTTGAGCATCCAACTTCCCACTATTCTCCTTCAAATATGGCAATGTCTTTATACTGGGGCTCAGAGCTGTAGGGTAAGAAGAAAATGGTCTGTGGAATCTGGTAGACACAGTCTTGAAAGCTTGGTCCATAATGTTCTACCCATGTGAGACTGAATGAGTTCCAGAACATCTAATAACCTCCATTTGCTCATCTATATAATAGCAATAATAACACCATCCCATGAAACCCACTGAGTACAGTGGACAGCACTAGGAATGAATTGAATAGGCTATTTTTAAAATTCCATTGCAAAATTGTTACATGTTGTGGCCATCTTGCCGTACTGGTATTACATATCTATGGCAGGTATGAAACGAATACAAAAGACTAACTTGTTCACTAGGCTAATTCTTAACATGAAATTCTTTCCCCAAACTTTGCCATATAAATACGGTTTTGTGAGTCTTTCTAGGAGAATATTACAAGTACACAGTGAGCTTTATGTTCATATTTGGCATGTGCCATGGACACAACTTCCAAAATCACCTCTGGGTTGGTGCAACTCAGCATCTAGTGATCAAATAGAAAAGTAGAGAAATGGAAGCCATGGTTATACCTTGGTTAAACAATGTACATATATACAACCAAACACAGTCAACTGTATTCAACTTGTAAAGCCAAATAAAAACATGTTTAAAGTCATTTGAATATTATATAAACATGAAATGCCATATGAATGCCATATGCATGGTATACCTGCTTTTCCAAACAGATTAAAATGGCTAAAATAATTTAAATATGCTAGAACTACAATATCCTACATAACACAGGATAGAAAATCAGATATAATCATAACAATAAAGTCAACTATTGAGATGCTAATATAAATCATTAAACATACAAATAGAGAAACTCTCAATTGATAATTGATCATAACTTCACCTATATGCTTAGGTTATCTGAGAAGAATAAAATCCTTGCATAGAAGAGCAACAATATTTGACATTTATGAACTACAAATAATTAAATTGGGACGCTAATAATTCTGTAGAACAGAGAACAGAGCCAGGGTAACAATCAGAAAATGCACAGTCTTTAAGCTTTTTTATTCCACTTTTAAACTTTGCAGGATCAGTCTTATAGCGGAAGGCATCATCTAAAATAAGACAAAGAAAAATGATCACTAATTAATATAAGAATCAAAAAAATATCAGTAATTAAGCAGACAAAAATATCATTTCTTTCCTTTATTGACTTAATAAGTCACAGTAAAAAGGAGTCTTACTGTAGCTTTAGAATGTATGTGCTCACAGAAAAAAACTATTATCCCCATCTAGAAAATATTCTCAAATGAAATCTTGCCCAAACAACCTTAAGGGTATTTTTGAATATATTAATTCATGGTAATATGTTTTGTAGAAAAATATGTCTAATTTAGGATTTTAGCTATCTCTATCATTATGTGTCAGATGAAAACAGAATCTTATTGTACATATAAACTGACTTTCAAATGCATTATAGAGACAGGAGTCAAGTTGTTAGTCAGAAGTTGGGCCAGGGCCCTCTGTCAGAGCAGTAGTGGATTAAAATGAAGTTGCCTTGCTAGAAGAAATGAGTACATGAAAGGGAATAGTGCCAAAAAATTGCAGGAGTTTGTTAAGTTACACTTTCGGCTTTTCTATTTTAGACCTCAAATGACATACCAGTTAGATTTCACCCAAACTCTGACATTGTGCAGCCCTTTTGATACCATTACACCCCCCAAAAAGCAAAAATGATATATTTTAATGATACTGTTTTACTGATTTTTACCTTTTTTCTTTACTATCTTCACTTTAGATTGAAGAAAAATCTATTCAGATTGTCATTAGGATTTTTTTTAACACTCTAAGTAAATAGTAGCTTTCAAAACAGGAAATGTTAAAGTGTTAAGTATTTCTGATGTTAAAGCTCTATATTTTAGACAAAGAAAATAAAACTAGGAAAAGGCTGAGTAATAATATGACTGATTCTGGAAGGCTAAGTGAGTTATAAAAATAATGGGTACTGTGTTCTAATTGAACATCCACAAGCTATTCCTGCCTTTGTTTTGATTCAGAGGATTTGGACCCTACTTTTTGCGGTTTCTCCTCTCTCCTTCTCCCCATATGCCTCCCCCCCCTGCAGAAAAATAATTTCTGCGTGCTCAGCCAAGACACACTGTAATTTCCTTGCAGATGGGCACTGGTCTTCTGAAGAAATTAAAACAGCAGATCCTTACCCATAATAAGAAAAGCTATCAGAAGTCTAACTGCAGGAATATACTTAAAGAAATAGATAAAGCATATATTTCTAGCTGTTCTCCAGCTTAGCATGTAAGTATGTGGAATACTTATACACTAATTCTAAACATAAATGCCAATCTCCTTTACAGAAGAAGAAGCATATGAAGAAAAGAATTAAATATCACCTTTAAAAATATGTCGTGGTGAATATTTTACTAATCCTGCAATGAAATTTTTACCCTGCTTGAATTATGTAAATGCTTTCAGGAATTTGAAAATAATTATTTCAGTAAAAGGGTGTAGAGCTCCTGAACTTGCATAATTTCCCACCAGAAAAATTAAATCAGAATTATGTAAGTGTATCACTACAAACCCAGTTGGCCCTTTGGCAATGCCTGGGAAGAAATACGAATGCAATGTGCCTCAAAAGTCAGGCTACTCCTCAGCTCTGTTTGTCCTCTGCAGTCTGATTTAAATAATCATTTGGATTAAGACCACAAGTACCTAAACTATAGAAGGCGTTGAAGATTTAAAAATGAAAAGCAGTAGGATATTTTAGCAAGAACCCAAGCAGAAAATAAAGGGGAAGAAATATATCATATTAAAGGGAAAAGAGACTGAATAGTATGTGACAAACCTTGGCTTGGGCTTTAGGGAAGCTAAGTTATTTATAGAGGAGAACAAAGTTAGTAGGGAGACTAGGATTATAGACTAAATGTGAAGTCTATATTTATCACAATAAATGTTTTTATATGTTTTATATGTTTTTATGTGTTTGGAAAATTCTCCTTTCCAAACAACGATCCTTGAAAGGGGTTTTTAGAAGCCCTTTAGATTTCCTAGTCAAACAATGTGATGTTCTTTATATCATTACAAATATTATTCACCATAAATTAGCCTCAACTCCCATTATTATCCTTATATTTCCCATTGAACACTCAAAACAAGATGAAATTTTATTTACATTCTCATTTATTTTTGCTTCCCTGACTTCCCCAAGAAACAGATCTATATTTGCACTCAAATTTCAGTGGCTGTCATGTATACTTTCAGTGGCTGTCAGACATTGCACAGTGTCTGTAACAGAAAAAGGAGTAGAAGGAGTTAATTTAATGAATGCCTTATGTGATAGACCAAGGGCTAATACACTAAGAGCGGTGGAAATTAAAGTATCTTTTCTTGAGAGACTACTGGTGATATGTGCCATAGCCTAATGGGTTTATCCTCCAACCCAGAGTTTCTAATTCCCAAGAGTTTATCTTAAGTTAATACTGATAAGTTAGGAATATAGTTGTTCAGTACAGTAATTCTTATAATATATTAAGACTTGAAAGCACAAAACAAATTGTTTAACAACAGGGGAATAATTTTAAAACATGGTATATTCATAGCTTAAAATATAATTAATCCATTAAAATAGTGTTTTAAAAATATTTGCAAAATATTCAATATACAATTTTAGTCAGAAAACAGACTCAAATCTGCCATAATTGTGGCTATAGTATATACATAGAGATATAATTAGCTTATCATTATATAGTAATTAGCTTATGTATGAGACCGTGAGTGTGTGTGCTTGTGTGTCCAAAGGGGATCTGTCTGCACAAAATAGGCATTATAGGAATTATGAACTCTGGAGTCAGGTTGCCCAAATATGAATACTAGTTCTGTCACTTTAAGGAGCAAGTGAGTTCCACCTCTCTTTTCCTCAGATATCTCCTATGTGAAATGGTGAAAATATAGAGCTGATGTTGAGATTAGATGAGTTAATTTCTACTTAGAGCAATGCATGACAGAGAGTAAGTATTCTACAAGTCTTAAGTATTATGATCATCAAATACACATACATACACACATTATATGTTCACAAAATGAACTTAAGCATACACACATGCAATCATAAAAGTATGCAAAATTGAGCAAAATGCTATCAGTGAATGGTTTTGGTTTCTGACATTGTATATAATTTTGCATTTTTCTTTGCATGTTTTTGTAGAATGAGTCTAAAAGTTTGTCTGGAATAAGTAAATACTGCTTTTATAATTAGAAATAAAAACATTTTGGTATGGTATTTAACAACAGATAGATTGAGATAACATACACACACATATAAAATACATATCATTATATAAGACTTAGAACAATGGTCAGCAGATAGTGTGCATTATAGGAGTATTTATTAATTAAAATAAATAGCAATGGAGGAATTAGATATAGTAATTACTAACAAAAAATTTTCAGCCAAAGAGATTTGCAAGAAAAGAAGTTAAACAAAGAAAAAAATACAATTGTAAAAAATATAGAATTGTAAGAGGAGGCAATATTGGTTTAGCAAAGTTTGGTCTTTCAAATTCTTTCCAAGACTTAAGTATATTTGATAGGCCACATTGAAGGAGCCAGTACAAAGGGAAAGTTGGAAAACAAGTTTTATGGCAGAGTTCAGATTATAGATAAGCTGGAGAAAATAAGATGAACAAAATAGGATACATTTATTTTAAAGAGGAAAACAATTCATGAGTGGATTAATAAAATTTGGCATATGTATACAATGGAATATTACTCAATTATAAGAAACGACAGTGATCTAGCACCTCTTATATTTTCTTGGATAGAACTTGAGCCCATCCTCTGAAGTGAGGTATCACAAGAATGGAAGAATAGGCACCACATGTACTTGCCACCAAATTGGCACTAACTGATCAATACTGGTGTTGAGATGGTAGTAGTATTCTTCAGGGATTGAGGGGTTGGGTGTGGGTAAACTCACAACTAATGGACGCAGTGAGCATGGAAATTAAATAGAAACATCAATCAACCACCTAAAGTTTTAGTATCTTTAGGTGATGAAGTTTCTTCGTATTGTAACTATTGAAAATTTGATTTGCAAATAGTGCTAGTAAAACTCATCAGACACTTACTAGCCCTTTGTTGAAAATATTTGTGGGCATTCTTGGGCCTGTGAAATTATGCCTACAAATTTTTGAATGCTGAGTCAACATTTCAGATATATTTTTTATTTAATATTTTTAATAAAAAAATACATACTAAATCTCAGATTCAGTGGATAAACTTGAAAATTTAAATTCTATAGCTAGAATTAATATTTAACTATCTGGCTTAAATAAATAAAGGCACTTATTACACATAGGTAATAGATTTATTTTAATAAATCTAATAAATAAAGCTAACATTCACTAAAATGTAAAGAGCAGAGCTCAGGCAAATTTAATGGAATGACAGAAGATTCACTAGTGTAGGTGAATTCTAATTCTGCATTCACTGTCTTAACGAAGTTAAAGAAGCAACTCAGCAGATTTTTTCTTCCTTTCTTCCAGTCTTCCTCCCTTTTTTCCTTTCTTTCTTGTTTCCTCCTTCTCCCTCCCTTCCATCATCATATTTTATTCTTTGTTTCTGAGCCAGTAATTCCATTATATATAATGAGCGATTGAATCATAAAAACATTCGATTAGCTAAATTTATTTTCCATTAAGACATATATATACATATATATATATATACAGTATATATACATACATATATAGTATATATATACTATATATGATAACAAGATGATTAATTTTGGGAGTTAAACTGGCGAAATCACTTGCGATTTATTGAGCTTGGACATTCATTGTCATTTAGAGGGGAAATTTAGATTTTGTATGGGTCATTGAGATATTTCTTTTATGTTTATAGTTAAAAATACAAACTGTCAATCTCTTTCTGTCTTTTAATATACTTAATTTTTCCATATATTGTTTTGTAGGCCATTTTTCTTTGTATGATATATTGCAGTCATTTCCTCCTGTCCTAAAAAATGTTTAATAAGGGCATTTTCTGGAAAGTGGGAAGATACATCAAAAAAAGTGTGTAAATCATACTATTTATTTGT